AGGAGGGAAGGCCGCTGAGAAGCACACCCGTTTCTCACTGCCAGGCGAACGGAGGGAGTTGCTCTGCGCAGTCATGTCTTCTGCTGTGCTCACGCCATGAATCATGCGTTCACAATTGCCGCCAACCAGGCAACTTCGTCCGCCGATCGCTTCGGCGCTCCCACGATCTACGTGCCCCGTCGCAGAAATCAACTTCGACCGTACGGACGAAGTAGGGAGGTGAATATCCCGTGTCTCGCCCAGTAACTAGCTTTTTGCCCTGCCCCCCCGCCCTCCCGGGGAGGGCGAGGCAAGTAAGCAATTATCCCTTCGCGGTAACTACCGTCGAACGTATGGCCGAAATTATTGTCTAGTCGCTGTAACCAACGTCAAGCGTATGAGCGAAGTCGGTTAGTACGGAGCTCGTTCCCCGCGCTGTAACGAGCTTTGTTCGCCCCCCCCCCCCCGCCCAGTAACGAGCTTTTTGTCGCCCCCTCTTGGAAGGGGCGAGGCAAGTAGACAAGTATCAAGTATCCCCTCGCGGTAACTACCTTCGAACGTATGGCCGAAGCAGGCATCCCGTCGTAGTAGCCAACGTCAAGCGTATGAGCGAAGTCCATCCGTACGGAGCTCCTTCCCTGTGGTGCTGCAACGAGCTTCGTTGCCCCCCCCCCCCCAGGGGCGACGTAAGTGAGTGCGTACCCCGTCGCGGCAACGACCTGCGATCGTACGAAGGCAGCGTGTAGCTCGTCGCAGCAGTACTCGAACCTCGACTGTGTGCACTAGGTAGCTTCGTGGGTGCCTCGCTTCCCGCGCCGTGCCGACCTCCGTGCCTCCCTCCCTCCCCCCTGCGGGGGCGAAGTAAGCAGCAGCGCACTCCGCCGCGGCAGCTCACTTCGATCGCGCGAGCGAAGTAAGCAGGTCACGTCTCCTGCTCCTTCGCGCCTCCGAACTTCGTTACCCCCCCCTTTGGTGCGAAGCTAGTTACCCCCCTCGAGTAGATCTCCGATCCGCGCCTTCACTGACCTCGCTCGCCCCCCTCCGGCCGGCCGGCTCGTTGCCAGCAGACACATACAGTGCCGTTTTTAATACATGCTCCGCGTGCGGAGCATGTATTAAAAATGCAGGGATTTAGTATTAAAAACAACGATGAGTTCATGCATACATTCATGCCTAACTGAATCATGTATAAAAATCAGATATTTAAAGAAATCCTACGTATTAAAAACTGCCCTGTGCTTCGTGTGCCTCCTCCCCCCGCCTCCCACCTTGTTTGCCAGGGAAAGCATATGCGATATCATATTTACGTCGTTCGTTCATTCGCTCCCCTTGGACGGAGTTTCGAACTTCGGGGTTCTTTCGGCCCCCTCGTCATCCCTGCTGCTCGCACCCGAGCTTCCTTTTGTCTGATTCTGCAGGTGCTGAACATGCGGATTCAGCATATTTGCCACACGCAATTTCTAAGTATTTGCCCGGGCCACCATGGGCTGGTAAGGCTTCGGGTCGCGCACCGACAGCCCCCCAGGTAGTCCCGGCTGGCCTCAACCGGCCCCCCGAGTACTCTGGGGCGGTATCAACGGGCCTCCCGAGTAGCCCAGGGCGATCTCAACACCTCAACCCTAGGGCGCAAAGCGCCCCAGGAGCGCCGCCAGAGGCGGCGCTTGGGCGTTGAGACCGTCCCAGACTATTCTGGGGGCCTGTTGAGGCCAACTGGGACTCATCGGGTATCCTGTTGAGGCCAGCTGGGACTACCTGGGAGGGGAGGCTGTCTGTGCGCAAACCATCAAGGGCCCAGCTCTCGTTGAGATCCGACGGCGCGAAACAAGTTATCTTGGCGAAGGACCCGACTATATGCGGATGCGAGCACCGCAAGGCGGCAGGTGGGACGAAAGAGCGGCAGCTCCCCATGGAGCCACGAAACGTGTGAGGGGTGTGCCGAATCGGGTGCGGTTACACCATGCGGCTAGGAAACGTGTGAGGGGTGTGCCGACTCCGGCACGGTGGCGCCACGAGGATCCTGCCACTGGGGCCTTCGGTGGAGCTCCCCATGGGCCACGAAACGTGTGTGTGGTGTGCCGAAATGGGTGCGCTGGCGCCATGGGGACCCTGCCACTGGGGCCTTCGGTGGAGCTCCCCATGGGGCCACGAAACGTGTGAGGGGTGTGCCGACACGGGCACGGTGGCGCCACGAGGACCCTGCCACTGGGGCATTCGGTGGAGCTCCCCATGGGGCCACGAAACGTGTGAGTGGTGTGCCGAAATGGGCGCGGTGGCGCCATGCGGACCCTGCGGGCCGCCAACCGTGTGAGGGGCGCCTAAACGGTTGCGGTTGCGCCATGCGGACCCTTCCACCGGGGCCTTTGGTGGAGCTCCCCATGGGGCCACGAACCGTGTAAGGGGTGTTCCGAGATGGGTGCGGGGGCACTGTGCGGACCCTGCCACTGGGGCCTTCGGTGGAGCTCCCCATATGGGGCCACGAAGCTTGTTTTGGGTGTGCGGAAATCGACATGGGAAGGCTGAGGCAGGAACGGGATGCCGATGGTGATGGTGATGGTGATGGTGATGGTGATGGTGATGGTGATGACGATGACGACGACGACGACGACGATGACGATGATGATGATGATGATGATGATGATGATGATGATGATGATGATGATGATGATGATGATGATGATGATGATGATGATGATGATGCTGATGCTGATGCTGATGCTGCTGCTGCTGCGGCTGCTGCTGCTGATGATGATGATGATGATGATGATGATGATGATGATGATGATAAAAATGATGACGATGCGGACGTGCGGAGGGCAGAGGCAGGGATGGGAGGAGGAGGGGGGAGGGGGAGGAGGAAGGAGTGAGGAACGCGGGGCGCTGTCTCTTCAGATCGAAGACCCAACACCACATGATGGTTGGGAATGAGGCATCGTAGAAAATCACGACCGGAGTCCTGGGCCATCCTAGACCTCATCTTTCTGCGCCATGTTTCGAGCCGGATCGATCGTGGATGGTCTCGGGGCCCGAAGCGGAGCGAACTGCCCAGTTCGAACAAGCTGAGGCGCCAGGCTCTCAGGGTCCGTGGCCGCGGAGCAGGCTGTTCGTTCGTGGATCTTTCCGGGGCTGCCTTCATCTAGGGGCCCCCGGGGGCGGAAGGTGGCGAAGAGCCTCCCGTCGTGATTTTCTTGCGACTCGAGGAGGTCTGCGGACTGGTCCTTCGTGGACCTTCTCGGGGCTGCCTTGGCGTCGGCTGCGCTTCGTCCACGTGGCTGCTCGGGGCCGCTGGGGTTGGCTCGAGCGGCCGCCCGAGGCGCGAGCCATGGTGCCTGCCAGTGCCGGCAGCGTTTGGCGGGGCACGCGCGAAGGGGGGGGGGGGGACGTGAGGCTCGAGTGTGCTGGAGCCTCGGTCTGCCGCTGCTTTTTGCCGAGCGCGTCCTCGGTTTTGACGGTCCATTTCCTGTGGGATATTTGCCGCGGGAGCTCGCGTCAGATTTCAAACCGGGTCTCGCCATTCTCATGCTGGCCCCGTCAGGCCAACCCGAGTCTTACGTCTCCCCGAGGGGGGTGGCGGGGGGGTGCCTGACGTCGGATCCGCCGTGCTTTTTGTGGACTTCGCAAGTACAGTGCCGTTTTTTTAATACATGCTCCGCGTGCGGATCATGTATCAAAAATGCAGGGATATAGTATTAAAAACAGCGATGAGTTCATGCATACATTTGTTCATGAATTAATCATGTATTAAAAATCCAATATGTTTGAAATCCTATGTATGAAAAGCTGCCCTGTAGAGTGGAAATTCCAGCCCTACTGTTCAAGCTTCTCAGATGTCCATTTCCGACCTGCTTTGCCGTCGCCGTTTCTACAGTTTTGTGTTGAAGTGCTAGCCGTATCTTCTGAGGCGGGCGTTGCCGCCTTCGTGCAGATTGGGGTGCATTTCGGGCACCGTCTTCAGCTGGAATGTCAACCAGAGCAGGGCGGATCCGATGTGGGGGGGGGACTTCTGGGAAGGCGGATGCCCTCGCAGAGGAGCCCAGGGGCTCCTTAAAAGGTTTCCTTGCAGGCCTCCTTCTCTCGAAGGCACCCGCCTTCTTAGTAGAAGGCCGCCTCCCTCGCGTCCCCTCCCCCCCGAAGAGGAGGAGGAGGAGGAGGAGGAGGAGGAGGAGGAGGAGGAGGAGGAGGAGGAGGAGGAGGAGGAGGAGGAGGAGGAGGAGGAGAGAGGAGGAGGAGGAAGAGGAAGAAGAAAAAGAAGAGGAGGAGGAGGAGGAGGAGGAGGAGGAGGAGGAGGAGGTGCGCGCTGCCAAGGCCTGGTCAGGCATCACGGCCGTGCGAGGAAAGACCCAGACGTGCGATGCCTAACCTTTTTTGAGCACGGGGTCCCCGGAAGTCCCGACGGCGGTTTCATCCCGATTGTGTGTTTTCGACGGCCCCGGCGGCCGGCGAGGGCCCACGGAAACCCAAAGCGGCCAGAACCTCTGGTCATGTTTTGTTGTTGGTGGTGGTGTTTTCACGACGCGAGCATGTCTGGGTTGTGCCCGCTCACCCCGAGTCGTTTTTTTTTGACGGCCCTATAGAGCCTGGCGGGGGACCTTGAGTCTAAACATGGCCAAACACCTCAGCTTATGTTCGTTTGGGCGGCCGTCGAAATGACCAGCACGCGTCGGGCATGTTCAGCAGCATGACAGCGCCAGTGCAGACGGCCTGTTCCCCGGAGCTCTAGGAGCATCTTTGCTGAGAGCTCAAGTTCCTCCTAGTTCGTTCCTATTTTCCAGTTGTGCTGACGCCCACACGCCGCTTGATGTATGGCTTCGAGCTGTCACTCATTCACGGCCCTACGAGTGAGTAGATCAGGAGGGAAACAACACACAGACAATGAATCGTCGATTCCCCAAGAAGATCTTGGAAAATATGGGAAGTGGGGGGAAGACGAAACACCAGGAAAATATGGGAAACTATTGGGAATTATCTTATCTGTGTGCATCTATTTGTATGTCCTTGGGCCCCTTCAGTAGAGGGTGCCCGAGGACTGCCACATCGCATACGACGAGGAGGGCGCCGAGCCCGCGGTCGTGTGCACCGTGGACTGGCGGCTCGTGCTCGAGGCGCAGGGCCTGGAGGGCGTGGCCTACATCGAGTCCATCGCCGTCGCAAGGCTCGGGGGCAACGTCGGGGGGCGAGGCACCTCTCCGTCCTCCTCGTCCTCCTCCTCCTCCTCCTCCTCTTCCTCCTCCTCTTCCTCCTCCTCCTCCTCCTCTTCCTCCTCCTCCTCCTCCTCCTCCTCCTCCTCCTCCTCCTCCTCCTCCTCCTCCTCCCCCTCCTCCCCCTCCTCCCTCCTCCCCCTCCTCCCCTCCCCCTCCTCCCCCTCCTCCTCCTCCTCCTCCTCCTCCTCCTCCTCCTCCTCCTCCTCCTCCTCCTCGGGTTCGAGGTGCGAGCTTCGAGGTCTTCGGGCGTTCTCGTCGCTCCTCGGCGGCCCTCCAGCCTCGGGAGGCGATCCGGCAGCTGCGCCCTGCCGAGAGTCGCCCGGGGGTGCCCAGTTCGCCCCGAGGGGCCGCGGGAGAGCCGAGTGATGACCCGCCGAGAACCAGTGGGCAACGTTTTTGAAGGGGCCCCAGGACGCACAAATAAATACACACACATAAACAGATTCCCCATATTTTCCCATATGTTCTGGGCTTCTGTCTTCCCCCCCACTTCCCATAGTTTCCAATATTTTCTGAGGAATCGAGGATTAATTGTGTCTGTGTGTTTTTTCCTCTCCTGAGTTTTGGGGGGGATGGGCTAGGGGGCGTTCATCGACACTCAATCGCCCACTCATCGCCGATGGGGACTCGACAGCCCCAACCTGCCCAGGGTCGTCCAGAGCCGCGATCGGGGGCCTACGGTCAACCCGCATAGCAAGGGTGCACGACTGTCCAAGGTTACCCTTGCATCATTCCCCTTCGGCCCATCCTTGGCCGCTTTCGCTGGCCGCGCCCCGCTCGCAACGTGCCGGCATGGCCTTCCAAGGCCCTGGCATGCGGAGCGTGCACCTTTGCTGTCAGTTTTGACCGTGCACGCGTTGCAGGCGTGGCCAGCGTCGGCGAGATGCGCGGCCGACCGCCCCTCCGCCCCATCGCCTGCAGGACCCCCGCCAGGGGGCACGAGGCGGGGTCGGACGGGACTGCAGTCGGGGCGCTTAAGAAGGAGCCCTTTTCGTTTGCGAGGGGCTCAGTGCTTCTTAGTTGTGTTACAGTTTGCCTTAGGGCTTCCCCCGGTTTTCGACGGGGGATCGAAGTTTAAGTTATGGAATACTGCGGCCTCGTTTTTTATTTAGGGTTCCTTGGGTCAACGCCCCGACTGTAGGACGAGGGTAAGTCCGTTCCAGAGCGTTCCGGAACGCTCTGAGAGCGTTCTGGAGCGCTCTGAGAGTGCTGCGGCGCCCGGGACATCCCCCACAGCCGCCGGACCCCAGAGATTCTCATTTTATCCACACCCGATATTATCCTCGTCCTGGCGTCGTCTTGGTGGGTGGGGGGGGAGGGCGAAGGCGAGCCGCGGCCCTGCGAAACGCGGACTGGAGCCGGCGGGGGCTCTGAGGTGGCCCAGCATTGGCTCCAGCGAGCGGTGGGGGGGGGGGCCTATCGTGCGCATCGCCGATCTATCGGCGCTGCATCGCCGATTCCGGGCCGATGTCTCCTCGACTCAGCGCAGGCCCCTTTCTGAGAAAGAGCGTGTTCTACCGCTGCTGGCGGAAAACCGGGGGGGGGTCACTGTCGGTTCGAACCCCTCCCCCCCCCCCTCGAAAACCGGGGGGGGTCACTACCGGTTCGAACCCCTCCCCCTCACCCTCCCCAGTCCATCATGAAAAGGGGGGGGCTCACTGCCGGTTCGACCCCCCCTCCCCCCCTTCGAAAACCGGGGGGCTCACTACCGGTTCGAGCCCCCCACCCCCCGGGGACAGTGGGACAATGGTGCGGACAGTGGTGGGGACAGTGGTGGTGGGGACAGTGGTGAGGGGACAGCGGGACAGTGGTGGGGACAGTGGGACAGTGGTGGGGACGATGGTGGTGGGGACAGTTGTGTGGGGACAGTGGGAATGTGGTGGAAACAGTGGGACAGTGGAGGGTACAGTGGTAGTGGGGACAGTGGTGAGGGCGATGGCGAAGACGGCGGTGGGATAATGGGACAGAGGTACAGTGGGGACAGTAGCGGGGACAGTGGGGACAGTGGCGGGAACAGTGGGACAGCTCAGTGGGACAGCGGCGGAGACAGTGGGAGAATGGGACAGTCGGCGCTGCATCGCCGATTCCTGGCCGACGTCTCCTCGACTCTGCGCAGGCCCCTTTCTGACGATGCCCCTCTTCAGGCAGTGGAGGGGCTCTGGCCTGGCCGAGATGCTGCTGGATTTCCTGGAGAAGAAGGTCGAATCGGACGGTGCTGGGACGAGGATGTATCCGTTCCAGGGCGTTCGGGAACGCCCTCCGAGCGTCCCAGAACGCTCTGAGAAGCCCGAGACATCTCCCAGAGTAGGTGGATCTCGGAGATTCTCGATGCACCCTCCCCCGAGCTTATCCTCGTCCTGGCTTCGTCCTATCGGGGAAGGCGAACCGCACAAACATAAGCTTCCAGAGCCATGCGCGGAGTTCTTGGGTCGGCGTTCTGCCCCTCTATAGCGGCGCCTCCGTCGCCGCCCCCAGCGCGCGTTCCGCGCGCCAGGGAGGGAGGGGGGATCCGGCCCAGACATGTGCCGTCTACGTTTTTTAATATTAGGGGTCCAAAGAATTACCAGTTTGAAACATATCCCTATCCCTATGCTTGACATCACCTCACCTCGATGCCGATCTTAAGGAATCCCTCAGTTTCTGAGGGCCTATCCCTAAGATTGTCCTCGCTTTTTGCTCGCCCATCTTAGGGATAGGGATAAATTCGAGGCTGGTTAAAGAAGCCCCGACCTTTCCCCCGGGACCGGATTTGCATCCCGACGCTTTTTCGACAGGCCCCCGGGCCCTGCGGGGGCCCCTGGAGGCCGAAGCCAGCAGACAGTGTCCTGTCGTGTTTTTTTCCATGACGCGAGCATGTTTTGGGAGGGCAGATCCTGTCGTGTTGTTTCCACGATGAACGGAGCGCAGATCCAAGAACTCCTCCGAGCGGACCTCCGAAAGCTGATGTTTACGCAGTTCTTTCTCTCCCTCCGGAAGGGGCGAGCCTGGGGCCTCCGCCTGGTCGGCCTCCACGTGCACCGGTCGGGGGGGGAGGGGGGCGGGCGCCAACTGCATCCACGGGTGCAGTGCGGTAGTTTCGCGTCGTGTCGGCCAGCGGCGACCCCGCCGCGGGTGGGTCGATGTTGAACGGCCTGACGTTTCGGAAACAGCCGGTCGTTCGAGGTTGAACGATCCCCTCGGCGTCAGAAACCAGCGCCGAAGTCGGCACGACACGAATTTGCCTCACCCTGGGGCCGAATCGGGCGAGAGTGAGAGGGGGATCGAGGTCCCCGACGTTCTTGCCCTCTTCGGGCCTCCTGGGAGCCCCCACTGGCCACGGCTGAATGCAGCTCGACAAGCTGGTCGTAGTGGGCCCATGGGAGAGTTCCAGGGATCGGTTTCTGAATGGAGTTCGGGCGACGCCCAGAATCAGGAGGGGACAACACACACACACACAGACAACCAACAGCCGACCTCCAGGAAAATATTGGAAAATCTCGGAAGTGGGGGGCGAAGACGAAGACCCCGAAAATGTTAGAAAGTAGGGTGAATCCTTGGATTTGTGTGTATCTGTTCGTGTGAGGTTTGCCCTCATGCATTAATTCTCGGAGTTGTCCCTGGTCGTCGTTTATATCCCGACTTCCCGGCGCCTTCGACCTACCTGCATTTTTGCACGCCAGCAGTTCCACTCAGTCTCAGTTCCTGCTGCCACCCGCCCGACGCTGGGCCGCTGCGTGAGGCCTCGGCTTGCCGCGTTAGTTGTAGCCCTTTCGCGCCGCCTCTGCCTAACTAGTCTCTGAGTAGCCCGCTTTGACCTGACTCGCCGCTGGCGCGCTCGCCCGCGGCCGCTGACTAAAAAGTATCTGTTCGTGTGCACCTGGGCCCCATTCACGGAAGGAGCGCGGTCCTGGGGGAAACGGGCTCAGGATCTCGTCCGCTGTTTTCGAGCTCGTGGTTGGGCCCGAGGAGGAGGAGGAGGAGGAGGAGGAGGAGGAGGAGGAAGAGGAGGAG